TGTTGTTTTTGCTTTTTCCTGAGTGTTTTCCACTGTTAATAGTTGTAGGCAAGATGCATCATTAAATGGACTCTATTGATAATTGTTTTTAAAGTTCATTTAACATATTAAGGAAAACTTCAGTGATGGGCTTTTACGAAGTGTTAGGTTATAGGAACACACAGCAAAAAGTTCCTAAAGAAATGTGGTATATCTGCATGGAATTCTAATGAAGAACAGAGTATTCTTTTAGTGAGAGTTAATCACTAGCTGTTGTGCTTTCGTCTGTGTTGGAACAGACAGCCTTTTTTTCCTTATCACTCGAAGATGAGGAAATCGTCAGTTTAGTAGCTGAAAAGAACTAGGAATAAGTTGTGAAAAGTTCACTCGTTGGGAAGGAATACTTCTCCATGTTCCTCTTTCTGTTCTTGTAGGAACTGCGTGTTATTCCCTGCACTCACCGGTTTCACAAGAAGTGTGTGGATCCTTGGCTGCTGCAGCATCACACCTGCCCTCACTGCCGCCATAACATCATAGGTAAGTGCTGCAGTACGGATGCTCCCGTCCACTCTGGGCTTAACAGTTTACAAGATAAAACAGAAATTGTGCCTGTTTGTAGATATGACCCATTGAGCTCATGTCTTTATTGTTACACAACCCTGGAAATACAGTGAAGGTTAAATTCTTTTAAAATTACTGTGTGCCCTGGAGTAACAGGTCACATTTCTGGTTTTCTGTGGCTATGGGTTCGATGCCTCGCAGAGGGCAGCGTTGGGCAGCTGCTGAATGCAAGGAGAAATGGATAGAATAGATGGCTATGTTTTCTCTTTGTAATTATAAAGACAAGACAACATACTGGTTTTTTATTTTCCAGTGGTGGTGTAACTTGGAAAGTAGTTTCCCTTACTTGCTCTCCCCTCCATTTCCTCTGTCTTGAAAAAGTTTTCTATTAATACACATTTATGTAAAATAGAGTGTAAAGCAAACACTTGAGCAGTAACTGTCAGCCTGGCTCTTAACCTGCAAGATGAGGAATATTGTGTAAGCAGAAGTTTTCGCATATGAAAACAGTATCTGTAATCGCTTCTTTTCCTTTTTATGAAAATCCAGTTGAGGGTTTCAAAGGCTTCCAGGCAGATGCTTGTGACTGAGTTTGTTTTGTTATTTTTCCTTCTGTGTAAAAAGTTGGTGCTTTGCTTTTTTTTTTTATTTATTTTTTAAAAGAACTCTGTTGTGTAATCTAATGGAATTCAGAACAAAATATCCTTTCTTGCACAAAGTGTATTCCTTTTTATTCCCTCTTACTTCTACTTCTCCACTCTTAACTTCTCTCATTCAGAACAGAAGAAGGGAAGTGCAGGTCCAGTCTGTCTGGAATCCATCAACCCAGCACGCAGCCGGCAGCAGAGGGTGATTCTGCCTGTCCATTACCCAGGCCGAGTGCACAGAGCAAACCAGATAACAGCATATCCCACTCGGACAAGCATGGACCCTCATGGAAACCCCATCACAGTGCTTACAGTTGAGCGACATGGTGATCAGAGCCTCTACCAAGCCCCGTCCCCAGCCTATATCCGAAGTTACCAGCCTATTCATTTGGACCATGGACCAAACACGCATCACTGTAGCCTGGAACACAGGGCTTACTCTCCAGCTCACAACTTCCGAAGATCCAAGTTTGGGCGTAACTTTTCCAAAGCAGCATGCGTTTCCCAATATGAGACCATGTATCAGCACTACTACTTCCAAGGCCTTAGTTACCCTGAGCAAGATGGACAGCTTCCAGCTGGCATTTCCTCAAAGGGTCCTTCCCGTGCCTTTCAGCCTGGTGGCAGCATGCTTTTCCCTCCTGTGGTACATGTAGTGCCCTCATCCCGCTTGGAGAGCGTCAGTACCTCCAGCTTTAGCTGCTATCATGGTCATCGTTCAGTCTGCAGTGGATATTTGGCTGACTGCCCTGGGAGTGACAGCAGCAGCAGCAGTTCCGGTCAGTGCCACTGCTCCTCTAGTGATTCCATGGTTGACTGCACAGAGGTCAGCAACCAGGGGGTTTATGGGAGCTGCTCCACCTTCCGCAGCTCTTTGAGCAGTGACTATGACCCATACGTTTACCGCAGTAAGAGCCCTTGCCGTGTAGGTGAGGTTGGTGGTGCAAACAGGGGTGCAATTGTTCTCTTGGAGGGCCCCCACCAGGATGAGCTCCCAGCTCATGGTCACAGTCTGGTGGGTGCTGACTGCCGGCCTGTGCCAGCTTCTTCCTCAGGGGACCAACTGTCTAATTGCAGCATGGATATGAACTATAGCAGTAATTCCTCACTAGAGCACAGGGATGCAAATGGCACTACCTCAGAGGGAGGACATGAGGCCACTCCTGGTGCTGCCTTGGATGTTAAAAGGAACTGGAAGAATCCAGAGATAGCAGGGCCGCTTATGGAGCAAGCATGCGCGTGCTGCTTTGAATTCCAGCACTCTGCCCTGGACCCTGGCAATGGGACAGCTGACTGTAGTGCACTCTTCCTTAGCTCTCAACTGTGGGGGACGTGTGGCCCAGGAATAGAACCACAGTCAGGGAACACCCCGGGCTTGTACAGTATTAACTCAGACCACTTGCATAGGACAGATGGGGTAAAATATGAGGGGTTGCCCTGCTGCTTCTATGAAGAGAAGCAGGTAGCCTGTAGTAGCAACAGTGGCAGTGGAGGTGGTGGCTGCTATACAGAAGACTATGCAGTGAATGTGCAGTACACACTTCCTGATGACACCTTGCCAAGCTGCTGTAAGAGTGTGTGTGATCTGGGTCAACGCATTCCCATAATTCCTGAAGACAGAGACTGTGAGCTTATCCTTCCTGCAGAATGCCAAGGGACCCACACAGGAGGCTGTAGTTCCTGGGATGGAACACCTGAGCTAGATACTTATCTGCACTGCCAAGGTACAGGAGAGGTACAGGACGAGAGGGAGGTGTGCTATGAGGCAACATCATTTCTGCGGCAGAACTACTCTCGGGAGGAGGAAGCTGGAATGCTCTTTCCCAGTCCCGCTCTGAACTTCCAGAAGCTGATGATGACCACAAAGGCCACAGGTAATACTTGTGCTTTTTTTGATTGCTTGCTACCTTTCTGTCCTAGTGTATGAAGTGCTGCCAGCTTCCTGGGTACCTGCAGCTGTAGAGATTACTGCCATCCTTTGCGTAATAGTAGTTTATTGACTAAACCTTCACCCAGAAGTGTGTTCTCTTGTTACCTGTGTCCATTTGGTCTTAGCTAGAGGAATAGAACATGACCGTCTACTATCTAACCCTATCAGAGTGTTCATACACATCCTTTGTGGGGAGGAGAAAACGTGACTGCTAGTATGAGTCCCCCATTAGAGCCCCCACAGCCAGGGACCCAGTTCCAGAGATAGCAGCTGTGGTGAGCTGCGTAAGTGGGCAAAGCCTCAGTGCTGGGAGGGGACAGACAGGCTGAAGGATTAAAAAAAAAAAAAAAAAAGGACTGAAAACCTTTGAATTGCTGTAGAATGTGTGGGAAAGTCTCTGCTGTGGACATACACAAGGGGGAAAAAAGAACTACCTGCGGAATGAAGAGGGTATTCTTTACCTGCCTTGCCAGTGCTGTTTTAAAGGGTGTTCATAGATTCATAGGATACCTGAGGTTGGAAGGGACCTCAGGCCACCATCTACTCCAGCCTCCTTGTACAAAGCAGGGCCAGCTCCGAGATCAGACCAAGTTATTGAGTTTGTCAGATTAGACCACGTTTATCAAGTCAGGCCACGAGAACCTCCAGGGCTGCAGTGCACTCCCTCTCTGGCCCTCGTTCCCATGCTTGACTGCCAGCATGGTGAAACGATTTTCCTTGTATCCAGTCTGAACATCTCATGTTTCAACTTAAGGTCATTCATTACCTCTTGTCCAAAATGCATCACTGTGAAGACCCTGGCTCCACTGTTGTGACAACCTCCATGTAGGCATTGCAAAGCTGCTAGGGAGTGCCCGGAGCCTCCTCTTCTGCAGGCTGAACAAGCACCAGTACCTCAGCCTCTTCTCACAGGGCGAGTGCTCCAGCCTTCTGAGCGTCTTGGCTCTCTGCTGAATTCGCTTCAGACAATTGACACCTTGTTGTGGGACCCCCAAAACTGGATGCAGTATTCTAGGTGCAGTGTTCCTTAGTTTCCTTTATCCTTCAGGTGCTGGATCTCATCCCTTGGAGAGAAGCCACATCGGTGACTAGACCTGTTCAGATGATCCCGGATGGAGAAGCGGAGCTTATCAGAGACTTCAAATTCTCATGGACCTAATTTTTTTAAGCTTTGACAGACAAAAGTGGTAATGTGGAGAAGTCCCTCCCCCACTTCCTCTTCCTTTGTGTCCACATCAGCTTGGTTGTCTCCTTTGTCCCTCTTGCCTGAAGCCTTCAGGCCTCCACTTGTGTGCAAAGCCCATGTGGGACATGGTGTGGAGCATTTCTGAGCTCTAGTGCCATTTCTGTATTAACGACAAAGTGTTATTTATATTTTCTTTTTAGAAGTGACCGTGTCAGCTCTTGCTGAGAGGTAACACGGTGTGTTGAATAAGCCAGGCTATGTGTAGATGCTGTTACCTCCTACTTAAAGGAGTCCAGCCTTTGATAAGCTCAGGGCTACACCTGCCTTAGAAACCAGATAGCACCTTGAAATTAGTAGTCCAGAGGGATACAGCTGCTGTATGGATGCTCAGATACCAACTAATCCTAGTGGCAAATCTTAGTAGCCAGCAAGTTATATGAGTGATTTTGAGGGAGTTGAAGCATTGGACTGTCTGCTTTCTCCTTTCCCCTCTTCCCCTTTTCATGCTGCTCTGATGATTTAACTAGGAAGGATCTCCTGCCATTATGATTAGTTTTAACAGAGTGGGGGAGATAAACGGGTAGCTCCGAATATTTTCCTCCTCGCTTCCTGCTAAACCATGGACCTCATTTATCTTCTGACTGGTGAAGAGTGATGGGGACCCCTCCCTCATACAGATACTAGAAGGAAGTGTTTAGAAAGGGTAATACCTTTGTAGGTAATGAACCTTGCCTTCCATAGGAAGTTCTCCAGGCACCTGTAGCCCTTGTTACGGCTGTGAGGAATGGTGGCATATGCAGGAAAGCAAGAGCTTGTAGCTTGGCTGCCTCATTTTGGAAACAGGTCAGGTGTCTTGTTTTCTTGATGACTGCAAGCATGCCTAAGGGAAGGAGTGCTTGTCACCTTTTGTGTGTGTGGCAAAGTGAGGGACTTGGTTTAATCAATGTTTTCTTTGCTGTGGTTGATGTAGCTTCCATAGATTGATCTGTTTTAAAGGTTTCCTGGGCCCAGCCAGTTGTACTTCATTTTTTGTCTTGTGTAAAGAGTGCTCTCTGTACCCCATTAGTCTGGGCACATACTTTTGTTCTTGTACTAGTGGGGATGTTTGTTATCATGAGATAATACTTCTGATAGCAATTGTTTCCTGTGGAAACAGCAGCTTCTGAGTAAGAGGCTATCATAGCATGGTTTAAGTTGCCTGTCATGCTGCATGTGCCTGAGGACACAGTGTCATCCTGTCTGGTGTATTCACAGCAGGCATTCTCCTAAAGGGAAACTAATTATTTAATGCCCACAGTGCCAGTCTTCTGCAGAGATCTGTCTGAAGTTCAGTATGCTTTGGAGATACTTAAAGACATGAAAAAGAGATGTACCATTCAGTTACATCTTCTGCCAAAGTAATGTCCTTGACAGCACTGGGCTAATCGTGAGAACCAGCAAAGTTAACTTGTTTGCTTTGTAGTCCCAAATGAAATCTTTTAAAAGAAGCAAACATCTAAGAAATAACAAATATATTAATCTGTTTACTTACTTTCTGTACTAAATAATTTAGGAAAAAATAATTCTATTTAAAGGCATTCACATTAAGTCTTTTTCAATGAACAAACATCAAAATCCAGCTGTTCAGAGAACTAATAGAAGGCAATATCTGAGTATGAGGTTAAGAGAAAAATTCCAGTACACACAGTTTCTGTGTATAAAGCTTATTGAAAATTTACTCATCCTCTGAATGACTGAAGTGGTATGTGTTGGGAGAATAAATTCTAAAGCTTTGGAGGTTTTGTTGAGGTACTTTTTAGGTCTTACCTTTCTCCTTCCTCCACTCAAAAGAAATACATAGTAGAAGCTATCGTGTACTACCTTGGTTATTCTGCTTCATGTTTTGTGAGGCACTGCCAAAGGCCACCTAAGATGCACTCTACTCTACCTACACAGCGTGTTGTGGTAAAATGTGGTTATAAAAAGAAATTTGGATATTCTGGCTCATGGTGGTTCTGGATGTACTGGTCTCATTCACTTGCTGTAGAAATCTGCCAGTACAACGATCTCAGCAGGCCTTAGCACAGACGTGCCCTATGCCTAGATCCTGTGGTTGGTTTTATAGTCAACATTTAGTTAATTCCCTGCTACCTGTATGTCTGTACAGATGGTTTTGTAACAAAATGCCTTTCTACTACTTACATGAACAGTTGTCATTGTGTTTGGCTCATGAGGCACTATTTAAAATGTTTTTAATTAAAGTCATAGCACTTAAAATTGTTTTGTATAAAATTTGCTGTAAAGATTTGTAATATGGTCAAAGGGCTCTTTCTCCTTCATTACCATTTTAAAAATGTTTTAAAAGCTAGGAAACATCTTGTATATATTCTGTGTATGTATAGCAGCACATTTCATTTATGGAAATATGTTCTCAGAATATTTATTTACTAATATATTTATCTTAAGCCATGTCTTATGTTGAGAGTGTGTGACATTATTGTAATAATCATTGAAAAATCACTAACATGAGGCCCTGTAAATACATGATAATTGCACACAAAGATTTTACAGTACTTGCTGACCAAAAATGATTTAAGAAAAGTTGTAGTTACCCGAGTTTTGTAAGAAAGTGTACAAATGTCTGTATTAAAAAAAAAAAAAAAAAAGGCAAAACCACACAAAAATACAGTTTTATTGCATATACATGTGGAAGTTGTCCTTCTTGTTTGAGGGAAAGGACATAGATAGTTGTGCTCCTCACAGTGTAGTCCTACATATACTGATAGGAACTCTAATATAAACAACATTTATTTTTTCTTACTTTTAAGTAACAGGTAGGTGAATCTGCATATACACGCACACAGATCCTAACAGATAATCACAATAAAAGATTCAGAAGTGGCTTTTTTTTTTGGAGGCGACCTGTAGTGTTCTGTCTCGGCACCATTTAGCTTTTGGCAAATGTCACCGTTGAGTACCAACCAAAAGTGGGCTTTTTTGTTGCCTGGTATTGGTGCAGTGTCAGTCTAGTCCTTGACAGTTTCAGCTGCCTTCCTAACACTGTCCCCAGGTAGCCTCACAAACCCAGTGTTTGCGTTACATGAAGGCTGCCTGTTGCTTCACCCCTGATGTTGCTTATGAGGAGGGGGGAAGTTAAAGATATTCATTGCAGGAAAAAACCATAGATTATAGGAAGGAAGGCAAAGACAGTGTAGGGCATAGAAGGACAAGTGAAGGGTTAGGAAAGTCGTGCACCAGAGTACGCTGCGGAAGAGATGGGTGAAGAAGCTCCGCCAGGGGAAAGAGACAGAGAAGGAAATGCAGTGAAGCTGAGACCGCAGTGTGGCAGAGCTCGTGTTCCTGACTAACAGGACAGTACTTGGGCCCTTATACAGTATGCAGGTTGGGGGCAAGCCCCTAAAGCCCCCAGGCACGAGTGACATCTGGAAAGCATCCTCATTTGTGTTTGGAACCTGCTGTTGCATGTAGCAGGGGAACTTAATTCTGGTTTCAGGTAAGAATAATCTAACAGAATAATACGATTTTGAGACCTGAGCCAGCATTGTGCAGGTGGGCACAACTGGATAAATCATAGCTTGAATAATCAAACTAAATCCAAGTCCTTACCCTGGATCATGAATCGCTGGTCCCACTGAAGTGAAAATCAGTGCTGTGCTACTCTTTTTGTCGACAGAGGGCATAATTTGACCAAAGATGTTTGTGCAGACACCAAAAAAAGAGAGGCTTCGAGGTGTGTGGCTACCAACCTGCATGTGTGTGTTTGTGTGTATTTATGTAATGTGTGTTTATATGTTATTGTATAAAGTTTTCCCCCATACGGTTATTTCCCATGCAGTGATACACATACACAGAAAATCTTCCCAGTTGCCTCTTCCAGTTTCTCCCTTTAAGATTTTTACCTGGTAATTCCCTTCACTTTCCCCTTCTTTCATCCGTGTTTAAGTGCACTGCAATTCAGTTACCTCAGAATTCAGGCAAGAGACGAGCCTTACATCTCTCCAATCCTCTCTTTCATATGTGAGAACTCCATGTTTGGTATGACAGCCTGTTGAACTGAAGAGTATCGTGTTGCACGGGATGCTTTCTAGCATGAGCATCAGTTATTCTCATCTCGGATAATATGGGAATGGGAAAGCCTGGTCTGTATGAGAAGACAGGCACAATAATAGAAGAACAACAGGCTGGAGGGAGTTAAGCAGCACCAGCAAGTGCTTCCCAATCAAATTACATGCCCTTTTTTTGCTTGATGAACGGAATCTTGGTAATTGCCAATGATTACAGATATGCATTTTATTTGAAAATTGATTCATTAAACAGTTGTTCTTAAAAGTAGCATAAAACTTGCCACATGTGTTTGGCTGATAGGCTTGTGTTGACAGGTCACATCCAAGCCGCCTTCCTCTTCCTTCCCTGCACCCTTCCCAGTTTGCCATTGCTGACTAGCGTTTTGTTTTGACATTTCTTGTTCTGAAGAAAATCTTGAGGTGATAGTGCTTTTAACAGAACAACATGCCTCTACCCTTGCTGTCCCACACAATCATCAGTAAGCCCATACTTGGTCTCTTTGAGAAAGACAGCTGTGGGCTGTTGGCTGAACTTGAATGTGTTGCTTAGTTTTGTATGTTTGTGGTATCCTGTCTCTTACTTGTTGTGGCTTTTCTTTTTTAATGACTAAATGTAAACATGCCTCTATCAAAAAACTAATGTTTTCGTATTTGGCGGGGGGGGGGTTCTTCATTGAGTTCAATATTTAAGGAACAAATTCGTGTACCATCTCCATATGGTAAAACAAGAAGCAGCAAGAGCAAACTACTCTTAATGAGACTGTACATTATGGTAACACTTGGTGTTTCTGTAACACTATCTCATTTTTGCTGTCCAATATTGGGTGCATCTGTCAAATGCT